TAGCAACAAAGTGACGTTCCATAACATTTTGTGCTTGTTTTCTGTCGCTTCGTTCTCTGGTGTTGTCGCTGTGAGCGTAGACAGGTTCTTGGCAATTCATCTTCATCTCAGATACCAGGAACATGTGACTCACAAGCGTGTTGTTGCTCTGGTAATCTCAATATGGCTGCTCAGTCTGTTTATTTCTTTGACCCCGTTGTGGCTTCCATCCGAAATTTTCAATCCCGTTATCGTTATTCTTGCAGTTGTTGGTCTCGTTTTTATTGCAATGGTCTACATCAGGATCTATTTAGCCGTACGTCACCACAACAGAGAAATCCACACTCTCCAAGTACAACACGGAACACAGACAGGCGAAAAGGCACATTTTGCTATCCTCGTTAAATCTGCTTTTGGTACATTTTATGTATACCTTTTGTTATTGATTTGTTATTTACCTCACTTAATCTGCATGGCTGTCATTGAAGTCTACGGTACGAGTATTGCTTTGAAAAAATTTTTTCTTCTCTCAATGACTCTTGTGTTTCTCAATTCAGTTTTGAACCCTGTAATTTACTGCTGGAAGATGAGACACATTCGGCGCGTTATCATCGACATAGGGCGAAACATGATTACTTGGCTCAGAAATCGCTCATCACACTAAGGACCCGTCCACCGACTACGACGGAGAAATTTGAAAAGGGAGGTTTCACTGTTAAAGCGCGTCAAATATTTTCCATCTACGCTACGCCGGAGGAATTTGAAAACGCAACAATCATCGGTCATTTTGGATTTGTGGTTGGGGAAAACGCGGACAGGGAAATCACGTGATTATCGTGACGCCATCGTTTTCGAAGAGCTCTGTTCTCAAAATGTTTTCCGCTACACTAAAACGCAAAGACGGCGTTTTCAAAATTCCTCAGGTTTAAAGAGCGTTTTCGAAAAGCTCCATTTTCGTGACGGATTAGTGTGGACAGCAGGCTTAACCGTAGAAATAAAGCTGCGTTTTCAAATTCCTCCGAGTTGAAGAGCGTTTCCGAAAAGCTCCGTTTAGTCTGGATTAGTCTGGACGGGAGATGAAGCTGCGTTTTCAAATTTCTCCGGTGTAGTGTGGACGGGGCCTAACGGCATCAGTCGTAGGGCTGGCTATGCTATACCCCATATACACTGGAAAAGTTGAAAATTTACAGGGTATGTAAATAACATGTAATTAACATGTAAATAATCAAAAAGAGACTGTAAAGAATAATTTACATGATTTTTCCCCTTTTACATGTTTTGGAGGTTTCATGTAAAAAACATGTAAATATTTTAAGTCAAACATGTAAATGATGAAGAAAACACTGTAAATGTTTCAAAGCAAAGGGCTGAGATCATGTAAATAACATGTAAACTGTCCCTGCAAATACTGTAAATAGCNGTTGTAACCCTTTTACTTCCTTTACTTTGTCTGAAGGTACAGATGTATGTTCCACCGTCTTGTGGACGAACTGGATTAATGTATAAACTGCCATTAGAAAGCTGTATAAATCTTCCCTTGTCCAGTGGTATTCCATCTTGTCTCTTCCATTCAATCTGTGGAGTTGGAGTTCCTTCGGCACTACAGGTTATAGTCCCAGAAGAATCAGCAATAATACTTTGATGAGGTTTCAATTCAATAAATCTTGCTGTTGGAAGAATCAACAACATTGGTTTATTTGTAAGTTAATTTTGAATCATTTTTTGAGTGAACTTTAATTCGCACTTATATATAAAAGAACAATGAAGCATATTGCTTCTGTATGACTTTTAGGTAAATATGGCTGCACTTTAAAAACCTTCAATTACTGTCTATCTGTATACAAGTTTATGAAGTTAAATTTTATCTCAGTGTTTAACATTCCAATTTTGGATTAAAGTTTATTCATGGATTTACTGAACACTGGAAAAGTTGAAAATTTACAGAGTATGTATATAACATGTAATTAACGTGTAAATAATCAAAAAGAGACTGTAAAGAATAATTTACATGATTTTTCCCCTTTTACATGTTTTGGAGGTTTCATGTAAAAAACATGTAAATATTTTAAGTGAAACATGTAAATGATGAAGAAAACACTGTAAAT